CCGGCTCTAAGTCACTTTCTAACCGTATTTTACTTCTAGCTGCTCTGTCTGAGGTAGTTTTCTTACTTGTGCCTAGTTTTGATTTTGCAATTGAAAATCTTTCAATTGCTTTGTTGTAATTCCCAAATGTGTGTGTGTGTGTGTATTGGTTTTACATTTGTGAATAAGTACACATGATTATGTCCTTGAGTTCATATGTGGGTGTTTAGATAGCTGTGTTTGTACCCATATTAAGTATGATTTGAGGGTGGGTTTCGACTTTAATTGAGCATGTAATTAGCTCTGTGTGATAGTTATTTAGCATTGATTAAGAAATGTTTTAAGTCTGTGTTTCTCATATTTATAATGCTAATTTTGATTTCATCAAAGAAGCTTTTATGATTCCAGAACAACGGAAGAGCTACTTAGGATGTCAATTTTTGTTATTTGTTACATTTTTGTGAACTCAGAAAAAACCCATTTTAGTTTATTCGTTAGACTTAATTGTTGAATTAACGATGGCTCTTGGGATATTAGAAGAGTACAATAATTCCTTTGAAGTGATACTTAAGAAGGCATGAATTTATATTGCCTTAAATCATGGTCGAAAAAGTAGTTCGTTCGTCCTAATGTGTGAGCCTTAAGTTAATACTAATTATAGTTCACTTAATGCCTGCTGTTCACTTCTTTAACAGGGAACAACTGCTGTGGATAACTTACTAAGCAGTGATGATATTCATTATATGCTTGGTGCCCTTAGAACTCTCGGGCTTCATGTGGAGGAAGATATAGCTAACCAACGAGCAATTGTTCGTGGCTGTGGTGGCCTATTTCCAGTCTCGAACGAAGCCATAAATGAAGTTCAGCTTTTCTTAGGCAATGCGGGCACTGCTATGCGTCCATTAACTGCTGCAGTTGTTGCTGCTGGTGGAAACTCAACGTATATTTTTTTTTTCCTTTTTCCTTTTAGGAGTGTTATTTATATCATAGAGTAACAATTCACTTATTTACAAGTATATCCTATTTTTCATTTCACGACTAGTCAGTAGTCACTGATCTTCTTGACCATTATAAGTTTTCACTTATTGTAACAAATGTGAAATCTTTCAGAGACACACGACGAATTAAGTTTTTTTATTGGTATGCGCACTGTTAAGTTAAAAGTGTTAATAATAATTTTCGTGGGCTTGCAGGTATGTACTTGACGGGGTTCCTCGCATGAGAGAGAGGCCCATTGGAGATTTAGTTACGGGACTTAAGCAGCTTGGTGCTGATGTTGATTGCTTTATGGGCACAAACTGTCCTCCCGTTCGTGTTGTTGGAAAAGGTGGCCTTCCCGGGGGGAAGGTCAGTCTTAAATTCATTTGAAATTAAATTCGTGTCATGTGGTGCTAATTAATTATTCATTCCTTGTTATTGTGCTACCTTATGTTAATGACACATACAAGCAGTTGAATAGATGATCAC